GTAGCCTAAAGGCAGATAACGTGGAAAGCCTCTAAAGAGGCTCTAGGGGGCGGCTAAAGAGGCATAGTGCAGGCGCGGGTGCGTGTGTGTGTATGTGTTTATATATATGTTTATAGGTGTACATATGCTTGCCTATAACAGTTAGCAGGCTAGCTAGGACATTAATTTACTAGAGGGCGTGACAATATATACTAGCAGTAAGTAGTAGGATAGCTAAAGAAATTAAAAACACTACGTATAGCAACGATATATATATGTAGATAGCTAATTATGTTGCTATAGCTAACAAAATTGCTATTAACATATAACTATTAGCTAGAAGCTAGGTATATAACAATAACAAGCAGTTACTAACTTAGGTTAACGTTATACATTATAAAGATATCTCTATATATAACAACACTTTGTTTATAGTTACCTACGTAGATTCTTTTTAAGGAAGTAAACAAAGACTATATTCCTTCTAAATTAGCTCTAAAGACTATCCTAACTAACTCTAATAAGGGACTATTAGCCTATAAGGAGGGGGGTAGTGTAACAAGGTAACGACCTTGTTCTAGGCTAAGTCCTGCTAACCTCTAATTAGGGGTCTGCTAATTTCCCTTTAGGTCTAAACGTATCCCGCATTAGGCCTAAACGCGTACTGTATCAGGTCCAACCCCTGCCCCTAGCTATACCCCTATTTCCCTCATGTATATAGTCCCCTTCCTCTCTATAGCTAGCTTAGTAGTTTTTCTATATCCTTTCGTACAAGGCCTATAGGTGTCAATGGAATTCCTAGGTTCCTGAGTCCCCACGCACTCCCATATGCCTCTGAGTGGATTCCCACCGCATTCGGACCCATTGTCGTGCCTGCGCCGTTACACTAATTAGTGTGGGTTAGGCTCTATAGTGCACTGCTTTGTAAAGCAGCCAAAGTAGGTTTGTACATAGGTACAGTAAGGAGATGAAACAGAAACGGAAAAAGAGACAGAAAACGCGATTGTATTGCTTGTGTTGTTCTAGCTAGGGGCAGGGAGAGCTGAGCTCGACGATCCTGCGCGAGCTTGGGCCTCCCCGCTAGCATCACGTGATCAGGTCACGTGACTAGAAAAGGGGCAACGACCTGAGAGGCGCTGCACCGTACTGCGTACGGACATTGAGCGAATATGTTTCCAAATGGCAACGAACTTTCGCGTAATAATGCCCGGCAAGATAATTAGCAGCCGAAAGTCCTCATTTTCCGTATACAGTGGACAGTACAGCGGCATCCTTGGAGCACTATCTATACGGATTTAGGCAAGATTGGTAGACAAGAGACCATTCCCTGTGGAAACAGACTACAGTTGTATGCTATAAGCGCCGCATTCACAGCGGGTATCCTGGGCTGACATAATTTGCGAATCAATAGATGCAGTGCTCTATTCGCGATTGAAAAGGTTCTTTGACCGGTAACATGTACCTTGGGTCTCTCGCTTGTGCGTTCTACTTATTGCCCTCCTAGATGAGCTCGTACGGGGTTGCAAGCTTGACTTTGGACGCGAGATGTGAGCGAAAGGCAGGCGTAAAAGAACAAATATAAACAGTCATAAGTGGACAGGCGGTAGTGTCGACAGTCGACGGGTTTAATAAGTTGTACTTACTTTTAATTTCTAAAGGAGTACAGCTCTGGGTCAGCGCACTGGCTTGCTGCTTTTGTCACAAATTTCGTCTAGTCTAGTGGATTGAGACTGGGCGGGTCACGAGTGGTCTTGAGCGATGTCTCAACCTATTCTCTAGACATAACTTTATATGCCTCATAATTTGTATGTGCATAGCACCCATTTCTCACGTACCTGTCTCTCCGTTCTCGAAGATTTAGAACAGTGAGTGCGCTGCTAGAAGTCCGCAAGGAAGGGACGCCTATCTGTGGGTGTGCACAGCAGTGCAATTCAACATTCTACTCTATTTTTTTACATTCAACTATAGAATTTCTGGAAGTTTCACCTGCATAGAAATGCTTGCTATGAGAGTGGGCGTAAAAGATGCAAGACAGGTTCGCGAAATGAGTGAGGGGGTCCAGAGGGCAAAAAGTCGCCATAAAGGCAAAAAGAAAGTTGCATCGGCCGGGAATCGAACCCGGGGCTAGCCGATATTGCACTTGGCAACGGCTAATTTTACCCTGGCGTGTTATTAGTATCAGTTGTTGAGGACGGCGAAGTTTGGGTGCTTACACTAAACCACCGATGCTGGAGGATGCTGAACTCGCTAATCCAGTGAATGATGGAAGTATGAGAAAATAAACCGTATATATATAGTGCAAAAGGAAGCGTGTCTCTAACTTGAAAAGACAGTGTCTACTTTACTGTAATATCGCACTATTCCTTCGTGGAAAAAGCCAGTGAATTGAAATTAGGCGGTCTGGGCTCCGGGGAAGCGTTTGCAGTACGGCCGACTTCGGGATGCGATCGATGTGGGACCGTGGCCACGGCTAATTTTCACCTGAACCACCAACAACTTTTCGTCCAACGATGTATCTTCTTGATAAAACCTAGTGTCTCTAATACGATAGCGGAATTTTATCAATGTTCTGTGTCGCCACTACCGTCCTGTAGTCCTGTTGACACCTCCTTTAGCTTTGGATGCGACTCCCGAACCCTTTTGGATGTTGCCAATATACCTTCAGGTATAGATCAGAGTATATCATAGTCCTCGCTGGGTAATTCATACAGTATGGGAAGGTCTGAGTCTGCTTTCTTCCTTCGGTTAATGCACATTTAAGCGGTCTCCCTCCATGTTCTCTAACCAGATACCAGCAATATAGGCTTTCTTGTCCATATCTAGACTAAACAGCTAGTATACTATGTGTTTGCACTCTTGTAGGGAACAAAAAACATAAACATTAACTTGGCCCGCAGTTTCCTACGATGTCTTTCCCAACACTTCCAAGCCATGCAAGTAGAACATGCTTATTGCTGGTTTTGCTGATCCAATGGATTATCTTAGAATGGGGAACATGAATAATACATATACGACGCAATTTCTCAGTAAGGAAAGAGCGTCTGCAACACTTGGTTTTTAGCAGAGCGCTGTTTCGCCCTGAGAAAGGTATGCGAGATGCAGACAGGTCGACTCCGGGAAAGGGTTGGCAGGACCTAATTTTCTTGACGACCCACCGGTGCACACTCAACCTAGACCGACGCTATCGCAAGAGCTGGATATTTATAGTGATACTTTGACACTATCATTTGTCCAGCAATGACTTCTCATGACATTTGATTTTCTCCGGCATCTCTGTTGTCGGCTACTTGCGTGGGTTTCCCATCTTCTTTGTCAGCTGCAGCACCCTCCTCTTCTCCAGGCTCGGGTGACTCCTCCTGCCTCCGATTCCGTGTCGTCTCCCTGAGTCTCCTGACCTCATCGCGATCTTCCTACAGAAGTATTCAGCATGAGCCAACATGTCAGCGAATCTTCACTCCACAGAGTGAGAATAAGGGAAATGGCCGCATCGCTTACCATTGTCAAACGCTCAGGTACTATGAATTCCCACATGTCGTTCACCTGCCGAGGCAGTCAGAAATATTGAAGTATTTACATTCTATAATGTGGAGATAGCAAGCCTGTCAAGGTCGCCGTTCCTCTGCGATATGGGCAGGTACAAGCTTAGCGTCGAATCCACTCCATTCCGGCCACTTGTTCTTTAGGAAGCCTTTCGATTGTTTCTCAAGACAATCCTTCGTAAGCGTGGAACGCCTCTGAAACCGAACTCGGTGTATGGGAAGCTATTGTAGTTCTTCGTCGCACAGCAGCGTGGAGCCAGGAGTCTGTCCTTCTTCGCCTGAACATGTTCAAAGGACGTTGGATTTTTGGCACGATACGGGGCGACTTCGATCGAGGCTTGTCTGCAGGGCATTTTCAATTCCAAAAGTAGGTAAGGTTGTGTGCTGCAGACGAGCTTATCATTTCGGTTCCAGGTGGTGAGGGTGAGGCATTGCCCCGCGGTCACGCACCCCGCTCTTTCCGAGAGCGCTGAAACGAAAACCATGCAACGAACTACGCAGGCGTGTTATTGGGGGCTGAACATCTTGCTTTTTTGTGGCTGGCCCCTCGATCTCACCACCGGACGGGGTTGCTGACGTTATGATAAAACAGCTTCACGCCTTTCTCTCAGCCTGAGCCCATTAGCTCTCTCTGGAAGTAACTACTGTGGACCTTCCTCCCGCATTTCAGAGGTTGCTCCTCGGCTTTCTCGATTATCCACATTCCCTTCTCCGCGAGGAGGCATCAACATATCAGTTCGCACCTTCGTCGGATATCGGGTCTCTGAATCGGCTTGAGCAAGACATATGTCTTGTTGATAGCAAAGAAATCGAGAATGATTTCGAGGTCCCATTCCGTGACCTCAACACCGCTGACGGACAAGGTAAGGCCTGAAAACATATGTTCGCTGATAATGCGAAATGCATTGACAACTTTCAGACCTTTCCAAAAGAAACATCCACACTCCAGAAGATGTGAGAAAGTGGCTCGGCGTAACAATAGACCCAATTCGCCAGACGGTGTGAGCCGTGAAAAAAGATCCGGGAAGTCGATTTATGTAAGCTTTCGCACAGCGTAATCAGTAGCGTGTTGCTTATATATGCCTTAGATCCATATATTCTCAGAGCCAGCGTGATCAGCTGAAGATCGACCGTGCCACTCTGTTATTGATTTTGACATTCCACCAAGTCATGCCTGCATATCTGGAGTTCATTCTCGAATTCGGTGCCCGTAATAATCCCACTGATGCCCGTTTCTCTGGTGTTCGCGACCAGATCGTGTTGCACGATCCTACACCAGGTCCGATAATCTCCGCTCTCGGTAGAAGCGGCCGACACTTTCAACTCTGCTATTCTTTGTCACGAGTGAGGCCTAACGAAGACGATGAGGAGGGGCTGGATATGAGCAAATGGGTATTTAACCAAGCAGCTGTTTATCATAGATTTGATGTCGACAATGGCACAGTCTTGTGGGTTGTTACTCAAGCTGGGTTGGATCTCCAGCAGCGCTACAAAATCCTTACTGGACCCAACGGTAGACCAGAAGACAAGACTTTCGACACTCCTATACACTCCCTTCGCTCGAGTCTCTCTGCCCACCTCATGTACTGCCATTGGTCAACGGAATCCTGGCATGGCTACTTACGAGCTATCCATGCTGAGGTATGATATTCCACTTACATCCAGAGATGTGGCTAAGAGATTATAGTGTGATCGAACGATGCATGGAGCCGAATACAGCCCCCTCCATATCGAGTGGCTACAAGAGTTTCAGGAAAAAGCGAGCGTAGCTACCATGGTAATCAAGGCGAACTCCGAGACTGTGGCCTCGCTGCGTCTATTCTACACCAGGCTCGAGAACACGAGTGATCTCCCCGACTCGTTAAGGGAGAAGGCAATGATGGCGTCTTTCTGTGCGCGACTTGATGTGATTATCGATAACTTCAAGAGGCAACTGTCCCGAGCCGAATTCCTCGACAGCCTGATCGCTGCTCGCAAGGAAATTATACAATATCACGTTCAGGACGAAGCGGCAAGGAGAGCCGAGAAACTCAATCAAAACATGCAGAAGAAAGCTACCATGATGCACATCGTCACTATCGTCACATTGGTTTACCTCCCGGCCACATTTGTATCGGTTAGTTGCCCACCTGTTTTATTGTCTTCTTCTGCCACCACTAATATATATATATAGGGCTTCGAAATCGGACTCTGCACCTCCACGTGGTGAAGCCTGGGAACCTGACTCTTACAGAGATCAGAGCCAGCGCAGAGACGTCGCGTTGATGGTAGTGCGGTAGGTAACGCTGCTCTGTAGTGAGACAGTGCAGAGTTTTCACACCAGCGCTACTACAAACAACACCCATAACAGTTAGAAAAACAGTTCGCGAACTCCATTAACATAAAGGACTATCCTTAAGCACCTAACAGCAACAATATAACAACATAGCAAAACGCCTTATCCCCCACACCCTTAGGCAGACGAAACAGCAGCGGCTATGCGACGGACAGACGCCAGCGACCCAAGCTTCGCATACCACTAGTACAGTGCCAGAGAGGCCGGGATGACGGCGGCGCTGCACACAGATAGACCCCGTATACCACTAGTAAGGCGCTAGAGGGGCCCAAAAACGTGCGACAGCGGCGACAGCGCGCAGATAGTCCCCACATACTACTAGTAAGGTGCTAGAGGGGTCATAACAAAACGCGCCGTTAACGCCTGCGAGGAGCGACAGCAGCGCTAGGGGCGAGGCGTGAGGGGGGAGGGGGAGCGTAGCGGACAACTATACAGGACAGGAGGCAGTACCTACACATAAGGGAGACATCACTAGTAGAGGCAAGCGTGACAGGGTGGGCGGTCAAGGCTAGAGGACAACAGCAACCTACTAGCGCAGGCGTCACGCCTGCGCTTGCCTAGGGACGCACATACGGCACATTAGCGAAAGGTGTTTTTCCCCTAGTACAGGCAAGCCTTCGGGAGCTGCTTCTACGACTAGCCAACAGGGGGTTTTTTGTTCACCTGGTGTAAATAGCGGCAATAGTCTGCGTAGGCCTACAGGCTTGTATTAGACGGTAAACAAGAATTAATAATAATATATATGAAAGACATTCTTCAGCACCGATATCGTGAAGTATCAGAACCAAGACCCGAATGGCAGCTTCTCACACATGGCTATGAACAGGTGGCTTCAGGTCACTTTTCCATTGACTGCCTTGCCCTTTTTAGTGGCCATAGTAGGATTGTTCTGGGTTGAGTCGAGGATGAAAAGGTTAGACGGCGTTAAACGGCCCCTACCGTTATATCCGTCCGTAATCGGGAAGCCTACGAAAGGGTTCGACCCACTGAAGTTTACCTGGAAGAAGCCGGAGTCGACACTTCCTATGCACAAGCATGAAACAATCATGTCAAAGGCATACCTGTGAGGATGACGCCCACGGCATCATAAAACCGTGAGAAAAGGTTGCCTGGCACACCGGAGCGCAAATGAGGTCTTTCGATATACTAAAATGTACGTCCACTTCAAATCGCGTCGAGAATCGTAGTTTAACAATAATGAATTAACTACCATGCTCCTGACTGCACATTTCCTATGGTTTCGTATTGCCGCTATTTATCACGCTTGAATTACCCCATTTGTAAAGCACCTGATTATGATTCAATTTCTACTATTTGAGACGGGGATAAATCGGACAGCGCTGTTGGGGCCGCCT